TTCCCTTTAGTCCAAAGTTTAGAAAAATGCCCCAGAATGCTTTCTTTGGGCACTAATTTCAGTAATACAGAATCTGGACAGTTCAAGGATTTTTGAACTTTGATCTGAAGTGGCACACAAAATAATTTCAATTTTTTTCAAAGACAGGGCAAAAATTTAAAGGTATATTCAATTTGAAGATAATCCATTTGCCTTACAAGTGAGGCTTGACTTACTCTGTCCAAATTCTAACACATCAAAGTCAGTAGAATGAAACTAATAATGAAACAGAAGAGGCTCTAACTTTTATGTAGACTTGTTGACATACAAAAGCTAGATTAGCATTTTCTTCCTGAACAAACTCAGAACTGCTTTTGTTAGAAAAAATTATATATTTTATTTTCTTGGATATTTGCTTTAAAAAGGTATTAATTCCTCTTTATAAGAGTTATCAGAAGTCAAACAACTCAACTAGATAGATTTCTACTCCAAAATACATTTATCTTTGGAAAACAAGGTAACAGTTGTAAAAGCAGTGTAGTAAGAGAATAAAATGCAGTACGATCTGAAACATGGGTAAGATATTCACACATGAAAGTGTAAATATAATACACAGAGCCATTCAAATACACATTTATAAAGAGAATGGAAAGGTACCTAAAATAGCATTTTTATATATAAAATTTTCATATTAAAATATTGCTCATAATAAATAAGAGGTGACATTATGAATTTAACTTCCCTCTTAAAATTTTTATCTTTAGTAGTTCAGGCTAATCTAAGGTGTTGTTAACCTTCCATTGGTTTGAGAGGTGAATTACATTAAACTACGTTTCATAAAATCACACTGTAACAGTATATTTAAATAGTCACATGTGGTAAAAGTTAGGGAGGACCACTTAGTCATTATGGGGGAAAAAATTCCCCAGGTAAACCAAAATGATGAACCCTAGAAGACTAGAGTGCGACGATCCGCTTTATCTAACGAAGATGTTCAATACTGCCTTGAAGTTCTGCAAACTTAATGACCACATTGCAAGTGGCTGACCAGGAAGTGAGTGTAAGCTGAGTTCCGTTGCTCATGTCAGGTGGGACTTCATTCCTGTTCGCCCCACTTGCAGACATGGTAACTTGGAATAGTTCTTGAGAAGCTGTTCGATGGCGACGTGGCGGACATGGAGCTCTGAGGCCAGAGAATCTTTTTCTTGCACTTGGCGTGTTAACTCTTCAAAAACTTCTGTAAGGATTTAAAAAGAAGTTCCATTTGAGTACACAGAAAGCCAACCCTATGATTTATACTTCAAGTACTTTAACACGCATTGGGTGAATGTTTGCAATTAACGTGATTTGATACCTCCCTGGCTGGGTGGCTCAGTTGGTTGGAGCATCAATCTGTACACCAAGGGTTGTGGGTTCAATTCCCAGTCAGGGCACCATATCTAGGTTGCGGTTTAATCCCTGGTTGGGGCGCATATGGGAGGCAATCGATTGATGTTTCTCTCTCTCTTCCCCACTTCCTTTCTCTCTAAAAATCAATAGACATACCCTTACGTGAGGATAAAGGAAGGGGAAAAAAGTGATTTGACACAAAGGAAACAATTGTTTGATCATTCTAGGGTGTTGCATACTTTGCATAGTCAGCTGGAATAGGGTATTTCTCTTCTCCACCAAGTGAAACCTAAGTGTCATAAGCAATGACTATATAGATGCATAACAGGAATGGTAGTCACTATTACCTGAGACACTTTTCTCAATTTGAAAGAGAAACGGCTTCATCAGTACCTAACATGACTTATGGGAAGTAAGTGCACATTAATGCCTAGGTCTGGAAACCCCTCTAAGAGGCTTTGGAATCAGACTGCCTGGGATATTTAATCCTTGTTCCTTCTCTCAAGAGTCTCAGGCAAGTAACTTATAAACTCTGTTTTCATTTCCCCTTATGTATCAACTCAATGAGAGTAGGACCTTCATAGGGTTACTGTGAGGATTCAATAGGTCATACTTGGAAAGGACTTACACAGAAGAAGTACTTGACAAATGTATGTTGCTATTACTATTACTATTTTATTATTCTGAGAGAATGTGTGGTCAAGAAATACCACTTAGCTTTGGAGTTATAAAGACAGGAGTTAGAATCTGATACTGAATGAATTCATGATCTCTGTAAGCAACTTAACTGTCTCTGAAGTGTAGTTTCTTCACCAAAATGGGAATAAATTGCAAAAACAGGATAAGAGACAATTGGGGATTCTGAACACTAACTATTAAACTATTGATATTAGCATCGTAGTTCATGATGTTAAAGAATCACTAGCTGCCCTAGCTGATTTGGCTCAGTGGATAGATCGTCGGCCCGCAGACTGAAGGGTCCCGGGTTTGATTCTGGCCCAGGGCATGTACCTCAATTGCAGGCTTGATCCCCTGGGCTGCATGTGGGAGGCAACCAATCGACATGTTTCTCTCACATCGATGTTTCTCTGTCTCCCCCACTTCCTTCCACTCTCTCTAAAAATCAATAGAAAAATATCCTCGGGTGAGGATTAACAACAACAACAACAACAACAAATATATATATATTTGAAAAAAATAACTGATGCTTGAGGTGGGGTAAAGGGAATGGGTGAAAGCAGAGATGAAGGAAAATTTAGCTATGCTTTTTGTAATAGTTGAAGCTGATGAAGATGGGTCAAGGCGTTCACTATGCTATTCTTAATATTTCTGTGTTTGAAATTGTTCAAAGCCAGGGCTAATACCTTCAAGACCTGCTACGGAGTTCACTTGCATAGTAAATATTAGTAAGAAGGTAGAGATTAAAGTTGTAGTCTCCATTTTCACTTCCACTCTAACAGGTTCTAACCCAATTTTCAAATTTAATTGCGGATGAAGCTACTGGTACCCTGTTATTGGGGATTTTCTGTGTCAAAATTTTCACAGGGAAAAAACAATGACATTGATTCTTTACCCTGTATTCGCTGTTGGAGCTTTGCATTCAGTTGCTTTACCTCACCAGAAGTCATCGAATTCACTGAAACATGAAAATATATTCATTATTACCACAATTTGGGAAAATCAGCTGCCTACATCACTAACGCAATATCCTAATTTTTAAAAATTTGTACTTATCTGCCAACATAATGTTCAGCAGTATCCTGGGATTCATTCATTAACTCCTGCAGTGTGGAGTTTTTGAATCCTAACATCAACCCACAGGAAGAAACAAATTTTATATCAATCCCAGT